AGTAAAAGAGATTGATATGGTGTTTTTAAATGGCAATATATCAGCATATGAAGATATTGTGATATTTTAATGCATCAATATTTTTTCCCTCGTCTAGAAGTTTTTAAGTCTGTAAAAACGTTTTTGAGGAAGAAGAAGAACTAGTGTTTTTATTATTTTTTTCAGACTTTAGAAACTCAGAAGCTGATCAAATATCGGATTAAATATCGGTGGGGTGGCCGATGTCCAATATTCAGTTTTAAGGCCGATACAGGCCGATCCCAATAGGGGGGCGTTTATATCGTGCATCCCTAATACAGACCAATCATTAACAATTACAAAGGAATATATATGGGGGAAAAAAAAGAAAAACAATTCAATTATATTAGTAACTGTAGTTCTGCACTCCACCAGTAGGTGGTGAGATGTTTATCTCACCATCACTAGTTCTAATGTAAGAAAGACAATGATGTTGGTGCAAAAAAAATTTAAGTTTCTGTGCTAGCTGGATGTATGAACTATTAGTAACAAACCTGCTCTTTGCATTTGAACAACTTATATATATATATATATATATATATATATATATATACACACACACACATACATACCTATGTGCTGGGTGATTTTTTTTAAATCACCCAGCACATAGGCAAGAGGTCTGGGTGCATATAGTTTGCTAAACAACCGGTGGCATCACATTCCTAGAGGTCTGAGCAGCAGAGATCAGAGCCAGATCTAGCCAGGTAAACACTGACTTTACCTCCTAGCATCATTTCCTCGCTGCCTCAGCGCCCGGACTAAAATAGACTAAAGCCGATTAGAAAGACATGATGATACACATACCACTGCGAGGAGCTATGCTCTACTTAATGGAGATGTCTGAAGGCTCCACAGGACAGAAATTCTAGTCAACTTCAGAGATCCCACCCAGCTAACATGGGCTAAGCTAACATTGGCAGCTTAGTAAGTAAACTAGTTAAACTAGCACTGCTAATCAACCGGTTCAAATATAAATGTGTGTGTTTTTTTATTTTTTTTAGCAAGACTGTAACTGATCAAAATCGCCTGCTATTAATGCCGTTATGTAGCGAAACACACCCCCTTTACTCCTTAAGACATAAGCTCTATTAGTTCAATCTGAGTTTAAAGAGAGCAGAGCTAGCTAGAAGCTAGTCGCCTAAAGCTAATGCTTTTCTTTTAACGGAAGATGTGTCAATCATTCCTCAACACGCACAGAAAAAAATAAATAAATAAATGGGATGAATATAAACTTACCTGAGGATATTTACAAGGGCTATAAAGTTTTGTTGCAGCCTGATGGGGCGAGGCCTCTCCTCCGGGTCTGGAGTGACGTAGAGAGGAGGGGGGCACGCAGTGCATGCTGGGATACAATC